TTTAAACAGACCATGAAGCCCAGCAGAGCTCATTAATGATGGCTGATCCTTCTAGATGCCTATGATGAAAGCTGAATAAACTGTAAGAGCATAACCCCCAAATCCCTCATAACACCAGAAAGTAAAGGGCAGTAGTAGACGTTCTGGGTTTTGCTCCACCTGCACCATTTGCAGCTGAACTGCTTGTTGCAGAAAATAACTTTCTGGAATCCAATTCCAGTCTGGCTTGGCCCATTAAGGCAGGTAGCTGCAATCTCCTGCAAAGGTCCATGTGTTAGAAAGATAAATTATTGTTGGTAGAATTGCCCTGTTGAGGTTTGGGGCTTGACACGCTTCAATGATTTCTGAGTTAGGGGAAGGTTAGCAAAGGTTGGTGAGAGGGATTTACTGCTGATAGTGGGCACAAAGAATGTAGAATTTATGGGCCGTGTATATTCCTGGTAAATTTTATACATTGGCATTGTTTGCTAGTACGCTTTTGGATTTTGTAGCTTCTGAAACATTGGTTTAGAAAATTCTTTTTCAGTACCAAAATGAGTGTGTCTGCTTCTAAAGAAAGTCCTCTTTGCTCTCCCCTTGGATGCATCTGAAAGTATTGGAATAAGTTTGGAGGGGATCCCCTGACAAAAAATAAAATGAAGAGGTATTGTAATCAGTGGTGGCCACAGTATAATTTGGACGATGGTGAAAAATGGCCAGAAAATGGACCTTTGAAGTTTAATACAATTTAACAATTAATGTCATTTTGTCAAATAGATTAAAAACAGGATGAAATTTCATATGTAGATTTATTTTTCTTTTTGAGGAATGGTCGGGATGTTAGAAAAAAATGTGGACTAATGGCCTTTGGCCTTTAAACATCAGACTGGAACGCATTCTGTAACTGAGAACAGGGGCAAAAACAGTGAAAGAATCTGTGGTGTGAAATGTAAATATGATAAATTTGGTGATAATGATGAACATGTAGAATTGTTGGTGGATCCTCCATCAGGTCCTAAAAACTCTGATTCAGATGGTGAGGAGGAATCTGACAGAACCTATGTCAGGCAAGGTTAGAGAAAGGAGTAAATCAGAAAGGTTTGTGTCCAGCAGAATTAGGGGAAGAGAACACAGTAAATAAGTGAGTCAGGGTCCTTTAGGACAAGCTGTGAGACCTGCAGGAAAGTTGTCTATGTGCATGTACCGTTTGCTATCTCTGATTTGTTGAATTGGAAACAGAATGTTGGGTCTTATTGTAAAAATCCAAATGAGATAAATAGCATGATTAAGACCACAGTGATGACATATAACCACAACTGGGGAGATATAAAAGCTTTGTTAGAATATTTATTTACTCATGAAATAAAAAAAGCAGCTTTGGAAAAAAAACAAAGGAAGGACAGGGTGAGGGGAAAATCGAGGGGCTAGATGAGAAAACCAGGTGAACAGGAATACCAAATGCCGATGAACTTCTCCCTAAAGAAGATCCTGAATGGAATCCAAATGAAGATGTTGGATTAAAAAGAGTAAAAATTTACCAAATGTTTATTCTATATGGAATTCAGAATGGAGTGGAAAAACCTAGGAATCTTGTGAATTTGTATGAGGTAAAGCAGGGAAGTAGAGAACCTCTGTCAGCTTTTAGTTAGCGGTTGCGTGAAGTGGCTTGTAAATGGACAAACTTGGACCTGGAAAGTGAGGGTAAGAGGATGTTGTTCAACATGCTTTTTATCATACAGTCAGCCCCAGATATTAGGAAAAAGTTCCAGTAAGCAGAGAGGGCAGATGTAAGTGTGATTTCACAATTAATGTCAGGTGTGTATAAAGTACACAACAATAAAGAAGGCAAAAGAAGAGCAATAGGCAAAGGGTTTGGGGTCTGAATGGGGGCACCCCTTTGGCCTGAATCAATGTGCTGTTTATAGGCAGGAAGGGTCAATTAGCAGATGTAAACATGGTGAAGCTGGAAAATTTTTGACAAGTGAAGAGGAGGGGGGGAAATATCAGGGCATCCCCAGCAGATCCCCCAGTATCAGTAAAACCAAGAAATGAAATAATAGATTTCTGATCAATAGTGAAGCCACACGTTTAGTAATAACAAGCTGCAAGGGCCTGCTAATCAAAGTTACAGCATTGATTGTTGGGGCAACAGAGAAAGAAGCTTTACAGTCATTCCTAAAAGCCATGGACTGTACAATGGGAGATACTAAACTGACTCACAAGTTTCTGTATGCCAGAATGTCCCCTTCCATTGATAAGGTTTATTACACAAGTTAAAATTCTCAAATAACTTTTTTGGAAAACTGTACAGTCATACATCTCACAAGAAGAAGCATGAAAGGGTTCAAATCTGTTCACTAATGAACTAGACCTCAGAGGGACCTGAGGATAACATCCTAGATGCAGTACTGAATGCTGCTTAGAGAGTCTCCGTATCAGTAAAGAAGCCTCGCTCTCAGGAATATAGCTTGGTACAGGAGTTAAGAGCAATGAACCAAGTAGCCACAGAAAAATATTTATTTGACTGTTTTGGATGTAAAAGATGCTTGGGAAAAAAAAAATTCAGAAGGTTGGTGGGCAACTTTGTGTTGGAGGGAATGGGTTAAAAGCAGAAGACTGGTGAGGTAAATCACTCAAGTGACCTTGCAGCTGGGAATAGCCCTTGATGAACCAGTGTGAACAGCAGCCTGTGATCCTCTGGCATGGACTAAATTGAACAGGGCCTGTGTCTCTGCCTGGAGATTGCTTCAGGGATTCCCCAGTTAGTGAGATAATGGAAATAAATTTACTCCTTGTGTTTTAGCCGTGGATTTGTGGTTATCCCAGCTGCCAGCCTGTGGTGACTCACACACTTTAAATCAACAAGGTCTCACAAACACTAAAATGATGGAAGAAGAAACTCACATGGGAGCAGATGTTATGATAAATAGTATCAAAAGACATGCTTTAGGACCAAAGAGGCAGTTCCATGCAGATATAATAACAAAGAAAACCTCTGTGGGAGAGGTAAAAAGTGGAATAACTCTGGGGAAATACTGCTCTGAGTTACCTAAATGTGGATGTTATAAATATCTGTTTGTTCTACTTTTTCAGGATGACCGGAGGCTTTCCCTTGCCACACCAGTTGAGCCAGGGAGGTTGTTAAAATTTTCCTAGAGAAAATAATTCCTAGATTTGGAATTTCAGAGGGTTGTCTTCAGAAAATGGACTTAATTTCATTGCAGAGATGGTTCAGGGAGTGTCTAAACACCTTCAGTTTAAATGGGATTTGCACACCCCTTGGAGACCACAATCTAGTGGAAGAGCAGAAAGGATGAATCAGACTACCAGTCGACAAATTGACAAACTCTGTCAAGGAACCCACATGGAGAGATTTTGCTTTAATGAGAATCCAGGATCTGAATCACGCCACGTGTTAGGGAAGGAGTAAACCCCTTTGAAATTCTGTCCAGCAGATCGTATCAAATCGACACTGTAGTGACAAAAGGTGATCAAACACATGTAAAAGACAATGACATGTTGAGAAATTATCTATTAACTCTCTCACATGTTTCCTTCTTTCCATATAGTCATCTTAACCAGCTGACCCCCCGCTTCCTTTGGATGAGGTTGCCCACAGCTTTCAAGCACGAGACACTATGCCTAGACCTGGAAGGATGAACCCTTACAAATAAATGTAAAGGTGTTATTGGAGACATACACAGCTGTAAAGGTAGAAGGAATCAACTCCTGTATTCATTACAATCATGTAAAAAGGGCCTTGATATCTGAACAAGATAACATGATAAGTTGGAGATCTTAAACGACAATGTACTAAAAATAGTAAATGAATCGCACTTGGACTGAAGAAAGTGCTTGGGAGCATTTACATTGTTCACAAAGACTTATATTAATAATAGTAGGTCTTTATCCATTTATCAAATTTTTTATTGTATTTACATAAATCTACTCATTTTTCATTGTTACATAGACCTGGAAATGCTAAAATTGAAAGAAATCATAATATGTTGTTGTTGCCTTGTAATGATCCAGGGAAATCTAGTCCTGCAACTTATCCAATCATTGCTGAGAACCCACAGTGTTCCAGCATGTCATTACTAAAGTCAGCCAAAAATCCTTTGGATTGGGGAATTTTGTCATTAGATCTCAATTGAACTCATAGAGCCATAGTAGAAAGCCTGTCTAGACAGGTGAAACACGTATTGAAAGACGGTAAAGTATTAATTTTGGGAATATGGGTTTAAGCGAATCCATACTATTGTGCAAGTATGACTACACCTGCAATGGGAATAAAAATACCTTGTGAAAATTACCCATGGGGAATTGATTTCCCCCAAATTTTGTCAGGGCCTGATGACAGAACATGGCAGTATATGCAAACTGCATCACGGTGCACAGAATGGATTGGAGATGATGAACTGAATTCAAACAACATGCAGTTATTGTAATCATCAACCTGATGAAATAAAACAAGTTGCTAAATCAAGTAGAGATCTTAGAAATTTTTCAAAAGAGAGCTGGTGAAAAAAATATGATTTTGGATTCTCACTTACTGGTTGGCTAGCAAGTCTGCTTCAAACAATAATTGCGATAAGCATTTGCATAATTGTAATCTACATGGCATTAAGTTGTGTTAGGAGGCTGATTGTGCAATCTACAGGAGGAACTTGTGTAATGATAGCAAAGAAAAATAGTGAGGCTGATGAGTCCTGTCATAAAAACAAGCCCCAAATCCTCAAAGCGGTGAAATGAGATAAAGTGTTGATGATCAGGGAGCCAGCCCATTGTGGGTTACCACCAGCTCCCTACTTTGTGCAAACTAGAAGAAAGAAATGAAAGTACCTTGTCTTGGTGTGTAAACTGGTGTTGCACAGTGGGCAGCGAACAGCACTTGAATCCCACATGCATCACTTCAGGAAAACTGTCTCTTGACAAAGAAAAAGAAGGGGAAGCTCAAGCAGCAAACTAATTAGGGGATGTTAACATCACCTCAGCTGTGTATCAGTTTTGCTTTCCAGTACCTTGTCTGTTCTTCATTTCTCCACAGCATTGTCATGAGATTTGACCCACAAAAACAAGGCCAAAAGTCTGGGTGTCCTTCTGGGTTCCTTCTGAAAGCCTGTTCTTCAAAAATTATTTCCTGGAAAAGGAATTGGGCATTTACTTTTCAATGACTCCAACATAAAAGTCATTCTCCCCCTCTTTCTTTTCCCTCCGGACTTTGTCCACAGCTTGCTGGGACCACAAGACTTCATCTACTTTTAACTCATACCTCAACCACTTTCAGTGATAGATCATTTCTTCCACAAACCATTAATTGTTTGTTTATAAATGTACACAGCTTTGGGATGAAGTAATTTCCCTGTATTAAGTTTCAAAATCTTGAAGCTATTGCATACTGCAGCCCCTTTTGCAATCAATAGTAATTATGTGGATAACTCCAAATCGTTATCTTCACAGAAGAAAAGACACTAAATATGAATACTGGGTATATTCTAATTATACTTTCACTAACCTGTTAGTCCATGAACAGCTGCAGTCAAACCCCTTCAAACTAGTTCACCTTTTAGGTGTCCAATGCTTGTCCAAGAGACAAACATACCATTAATTATTGACTCAAATCAAGACAAATATTAAAAAAACCACACAGAGATCCAAAAAAAAAAAAAAACCAAAACAGGAAGAGAAACAACAAAAACAACCAGCCCATTTCTACTGTCTTCCAACCTTTCTCTCACTTTGGGTAGTCAAAGAAACAATCCCAGAGCCAGTCTTCCTGAGCCTGAACTCAGCCTCAACTCATACAAGAGTTTTGGTCTGCTTACAACAGCCATGACATATAAATTAAAAATTAAAAAAGGATTAATCCTCATAGCTTGCTCTACACTGACAAGGTCTTGCTCATTGTCTTACAGAGGTTTGATCACCATATCATCAATCTGCACAGGAAAGACAGTTTCTAACATCAAAACACCACCTGGTAAAGTTCTGCTCCTGTTCCACAGAGGAAGCCAGCAGCACAGGTGAAAAGCTGGATTTTGCCGGAGTAACATCTCCCTTGAAGAACACTTGTGCTGCAGCAATGACTGACAGGAACATGATTTTCCACACACTTAGCCAAGGCAGTTAAAACAGGAAAACATTTTGCAGGGAGCAAGAGAGATGATCCCAACACGTGGAAAAACTCTGCACTATGAGCCACCTGTTTTGCAGCCGGCTATGGGAGCAACTTCTGAGCTGGGAGCAGATGCTGACTCAGCTTTGGGGTCCTGACCAGAGTGCCCTTTGGATCCCTTTTTTACCATGGGAGGCCACCAAGGGCCAAGTAGGGGATGGGGGCCAGTATGGGATGGGGCAGCTGTGCAGGGACGTCCCGGGAATGGGGCAGCATGACAGCCACATCTAAGCACCCGGTGACCCCAGACAAGTGGGGCAGAGTGGGGCAGAGCGGAGGGGAGTGGGGGGGAAGGGGTGTGAGATGTGTGTGGTGAGGGCACCACAATGTAAGAAAGACATTAAGCTGTTAGAGAATGTTCAAAGGAGGGACACGAAGATGGTGAAAGGCCTGGAGGGGAAGCCGTACGAGCAGCAGCTGAGGTCACTTGGTCTGTTCAGCCTGGAGGAGACTGAGACCTCATCGCAGCCTACAACTTCCTCATGAGGGGAAGAGAAGGGGCAGGCACTGATCTCTTCTCTGTGGTGACCGGTGACAGGATCCGAGGGAATGGCACGAAGTTGTGACAGTGGAGTTTTAGGTTGGGTATCAGGAAAAGGTTCTTCACCCAGAGGGGGGGTGGGCACATGGAACAGGCTCCCCAGGGAAGTGGTCACAGCACCAAGCCTGACAGAGTTCAAGAAGCGTTTGGACGATGCTCTCAGGCACATGGTGTGACTCTTGGGTCTGTCCTGTGCAGGGCCAGGAGTTGGACTCCGATTACCCGTATGAATCCCTTACAACTCAGCACAATCCCTGACCCCGTATTCCAGCGTTAACACCTCGTCCCCGAGGGCAACCCGACCCCTGACGAGAGCCACCTCCCACCCCCCCGCCAACCCCGCCCCCGGCTCCGTCGCCGCTGCCCATTGGCCGAGCTGCCCGCCCGTCAGCGCCGTTGCCGTGGGGACGGCACCGCCCTGCGGGAGGAGCGGCCGCCATGGGGGCGGGGCCGCCATGGGGGCGGAGCGGGTCCGGCGGGGGGCTCCGGGCGGCACCGGCACCCATGCACGGCGCGGAGGAAGCGGCGGCGGCGGGGGGGCCGCGGGCGAACGCGGCGACCACGGCAAGCACGGCGAGCACGCAGACCGACAGCATGGCCGGTGAGCCGGGCTGCGGGGGGGGGCGGGCCGGGGCCTGCCCCGCCGTGAGGGGGCCCTGTCCCCGCCGCGCTGACGGCGGGGCGGGACAGGGGGGTGTGAGGGAGTGTGCGCTGACCGGCCTCCCGCGGGTCTCTCCTCACCCCCGCCGCGTCCTCCCAGGTGTTTAACGAAATGCCTCGGTTTGTCCTCTCCTCAGGAGGCTCTTCCCGCCTTCCTGGGGCTGTTCGGAGCCCCCTCCTTCCCCCTCCTTTGCTGTTGCTTCAGAGAGTTCTCCTGCCCCTCAGTGGAGATATAGATAGATAGATAGATAGATAGATAGATAGATAGATAGATAGATATACACACACATATATGCATACATATATATACACATAAACATACATATATAAAGAGCATATATACACACTATATATACTATATATATATACACACTATATATGTGCATATAAAGTGTGTCTGTATATGTAAAAAGTGTATATATATATTTAGATATATAAAGGATGCATATACTTATATGTATAGTATATATAAGCAAATATATACCTATATATAAGAATATATACTTTATGTATACAGTTTATGTATACTATACCTAGTGTATATATATAAAGTGTATATATATATATATACTTATATATATTATAGTATATGTAAGCATATGCATATATATGCAAGAAAGTATATCTATATATGTATATATATCTCTCCTCCCTCACCCCTGCTTGGCAGCACCCTTCTCCATAAGGGCCTTTTGATAACATAAGCTTGTATTTTGCTTCCCCACCCCCATCACAATGATCTCTTTTTCCTCTCCCTATACCATGTGTATTTGATAAGTATAATAAAATGCAATGTGCATAAGAACACTTGCCTTCTAAGGGGTGTGTTCACTAACCCCTGCAGCAGGGCCCAAGTACGGATTTAGTAGAGAGCAACTTCCTCACAAGGCTGGAGTGCCCAGATGAAGCAGATTCTGACAGATTTCATAGATCCCATCGCTGCGGTCCCGGGGAGTGGTGTGTGCATACAGATGTGGTGTATACATAGCTCCCACACTAAGCACCTTGACAGGGCTGCCAGGTCTCTGATGGGTAAATGGGTTTTGTTTCTTTGTAGTTTTATGGAAATCCTGCTTCCAAGCAAGCAAAAATGATGAACACTGAAAATAGGTTTTAGTTTCTATTTCCCAGGCAGTACAGTGATGTCACCAGTATCTTTCTCCTTGATGATGTCAAAGCACTTCTTATAAGCCTTACAGGCTCTGGACTAAGAACTTCTGCATTACAAACATGGCATAATCCTGTATCTGAGCCATGTCTGGATGGGCAGTGCCCTGCTCCTGTTTGCTTGCAAGTGCAGGAGCAGTGGAGTTTTCATCACTAGCCTTCACAGCATGCTTTCCCTGGAGCATGCATTGCCTCACTGAAGCAGGATTCCTAACCCAGAGGAATAAAATCATACTTTTGTGTGAAGTAGGGAAGCTGTGGGCTTAATGCACCTGAAAAGAGCACTCCTTTTATACTTGGTTTTACTCTCAGTAGCAGAGAGTCTGACTCCTTTACTTCCCCAGTCTTCTGTAGTTGCTTTAAATTCTGTAAGATGTCTTTTGCCTTTTTTGTGGTTCACTTTAATCAGCAATCTTTGCACTCTGTTGAACCTAAAGGAGTGTTTAAGTACCTAAGTGAGTAAAGATACAAACACGTAGATATAATAACTGTAACCACAGGTCTTTCCTTTTTCATCATAATATTCTCCTGCTTCTCATTACAAATTCATGTCAACTCACAACACTGATGTGAACTTGTACATTCTTCAGTTTGTTTCCCGTGTGTTTTGACAGGTTGCATTCAGGTTAGGTCCAAGAAAACAAACAGTAATTAAAACTTTTTTGTGGTGTATTCTGTTTTAAGTCTACTCTGTTTGTCAAATTGTAATCCATGAGGGTATATGTATGAGCTGGTATAAGTTGCTTTGTTTCTTTTAACCTGCCATCTGGGAACTGTACCTGCTTGTGCTAGGACAGTAGTGTGTGCTGCCTGCCATATACATTTCGAGCACACCTTGTACCCCTTCCAGTGCTTGTGCGCAGTGGAATAGCAGAGCTGAACAGCCTGAGGAGTAGTGAACAATGTGGCATCAGATGGTGCTGCTCACAGGCCTATATTAGCTTTCCAAACCCACACTTCTATGTCAAAACAAAAGCTGCTAAAATACTGTCTGAAAATGGTATTTCAGTCATGGATTCCATATGTTTATCTGCTGTCCTAATTGTTTTGGTTCACAGACATGTCATTAAATGAACCCTCTCCCCCACCCAAGCAATCTTAGTATGTGATTATATCTCTTCCAAACTGCCGGAACTACTTAAAGAATGTTTTCCTCTATTGTATTCTATTCTTGTCTCTGCCTTTTGCCCCTTCGCAAAAACTGTAACGTTTGTGGGAAAGGACAAAACCAGAAATAATACTATTGGCAGACAGCACACATGAGACCTGCAGAGGAATATGTGTTCATTACAACTCTCTGTAAGCACCCCTGAAATAGGGACTGGAACTTTTTTGAAGACTTAATTACCTTCTTTCCAAGTATGAGGCAAGACAGCTTCACATCTGGAACAGTGCAAGCTTTGCCGAGCAGTGCAGTACTTCCTCCTTTTTCCTTTCTGGGACACTCAGTACTGCTGAGCACTGGTCCTCACAGGACTAGGTCCAGATTTTGAGTAGTAGCACAGCACAGTGCAAGTTGGTGGTCCAAGAAGGGATTCTTTGCCACCTCTTTGGTTATTTTGTCAGAAGTGACAGCCTGAGCAAAAGGTTTAAATTTTTGTAGAAATCTAACCAAAATCTGGTTAGTAAAAGTCCAGAAGCAGGATCTTCACAACTGATGTAACTGGAAGGTTTCACAGTGGCTGCCCAGGGAAATGGTGGATTCTCCATCCCTGGAGGTTTTTAAGACAAGACTGGATGGGGCACTTAGTGCCATGGTCTAGTAACCACGGCAGTGTTGGATCAAGAGTTGGACTTGATGATCTCAGAGGTCCTTTCCAACCCAGCTGATTCTGTGATTCTATCCCCTCTTGCTGCAGGTGTCAGTGTAAGATCATGATGCATGCCTAGGTGTTTCTGCTGTCTTTTGTGGTGAGCCTGAAGCTGAATCAGAAGCTATGTCTCAGATTCTGTAACCATCTGTGAGCCATTTGAGCACATTAAGTTATGTGGGATCTGATGATCTGATCTGTGATTTCTGCTCTTCACCTCTTAGTAGAATTAATTCACTGAATTTCAATGAAAGCTTCATCACTTCCTCTTGTTGCACAGATGTGATCTCTGCATCCAGATGTGTGCATCCTGAGTGACTGCCCTGAAGAGGACTGTGTGGATTTAGCTGCTGAAACAGCAGAAGGGGTTGATGAACCAGCTTCTGTAGCAGCTGTGGTGTAGAAGACTTGAAAAACAATGTTCAGTAATGTGGAGTTTCTTTTTACAAATATTCCCTAATAAATATTTCCTTTTTCCTTCAAATGACAGGTCAAATGCCAAGACTTTCTAAGGTCAATCTTTTTACTTTATTGAGTCTCTGGATGGAGCTCTTTCCCTCGTCTGAACAATGGAAAAAATCACAGGTAAAATGTCTGTACTTACTGTTAATTGGTCTTTCTGAACAGCTCCTGCAATGAACTTAACCCAACTGCTCTTTACATGACAGATAGTCCAGACAAAAAAAAAACAACACCCCCCCCAACAACAACAACAACAAACTCGTAAACTTTTTGCAATTATTTCTTAGAAGTACAAAAAAATCCAGTGGTGGGAGAAAAGTAGCAAAATGAGTGAATAGCATGCTATTTCTGAAAAACTTTGAAATACAAGATATATTCCCAGGGGGTGAAGCAAGCACTAAAAAATGGTGGGTATTTTAAAGAGCATAACAAAGGAGGAATGGTGTATACTGTGTGTATGCTAATTATGACTTTAAAGTCAATGTAGTCAATGGTGTAGAGGTTCTCTTTTAGAATTACAATGTCATGATTGTAGTAGATCAGTTCTCTTATGCAGTGGAGGTGCACACAACTACGTGAAATGTTTGCTGATAAAGGACTTGTAGGTAACTAGTGACAATGAAAAGAAACTGTGCTTGAGAATGGGTCTGTTACTGTTACACTTCAAAGTAGAGGGGCATTTTCAGAGTGTCCTGGGACAGGGTGTTTCCTTTTGTGCTCAGACTTCTTATTGCACTATTTAAAATGATTACTACGTTTTGCAGAGCATACCCCTGTGCTAAGATCCATAGCACATTATCAGCCAGGGCAAGGAAAGATAGGAAAATTACTTGAGTGGAAATTGGGCCTAATTTTCAGAGCTTGGTGTGCTAGATCTGAAAGAAGCGTAGACAAGGAGCACCAGACAGACTTCAAAAGCAGTTTGAAATTCAGTAATTCAGTAAGGAATGGCTCTTGGGTTGTAGGTAGGGCTTTCGTGCAGCCTCACTTCTGTAACCACAAAGCAACTGAATAATTTACAGATCTAAGGCAACAGTGTTCAGTAGCAGCTGGATTGTCTAATGAGATCTGTTTCACCAGCTTCATCAAACTAGCTTGTATCCAGTTTCCTCACAATACGTGGGAATTCAGTTGTAATAGCTCTTGTGTGTGGTGTACAGAGCTTTTTCATTGAAGATCCTTTAGAACTAGGATTCATTTCCATTAAGGAAGAGACTGAAATAAAGCTAGAGAAGCTATTGGCTCCCTCAGTGGTCAAGCTTAAGACAGAAATTAAATTTATGAGCATTTCCAGATGCTGGCTGATTCAGAGGGGATTTCAGCTATAATTGACAGAATCTTCTTTACTCCTTCTGGATTTTGTTATGAGCAAAACAATGACCAGAAAAAATCAGGAATTTGTGACAAATTCCTATTTGGAGTTTGAAACAAGCACTGGTGTTAACAGGCACATGTGGGAAAAAAAAAACAAAAACAAACCAACAACAAAAAATGTGTAGGAAAGTGTATCAGAGATTGTTTAATGGTTCATATTACAACTTGTACTGAAGAACTCTGCTGCTGGTTGCGTATTGTTACCCAAGGAAGACCTGTAACATCTCTGTGGTCTTCATATTGAAAAAAAGTAAAATAATAATAATAATAGTAATGCATTTTTCTGTAGGTGAAGAAGAGTGGTCTAGTTGTGGTGAAAAACATGAAGATTATTGGTCTTCATTGTTCCAGTACAGACTTGCATGCTGGCCAGATTGCACTCATTAAACATGGATCAAGACTTAAAACCTGTGATCTTTATTTTTCCAGAAAACCATGTTCAACTTGTTTAAAAATGATTGTAAATGGTAAGCAATGACTGTAGTAGAATAGGAGTAAATGTTATGCTCGTGGGGCATGCTATCGGAAAGCCTGTTTTCTCTTTGGACTCTCCCAGTTGTGAATGCCAGTCCCTAACTTGTGTAGACTGCACTGATATTTTCCAAGAGTCAATGTACATCTCCTGGAGCTGATGGGCAAGACACTAGGGTTTGCTCCTGAGAGCCTGTTTCTCTGTGCAGCTGTTATTATTGGTGGTCCTTTGTCTCTCAGGTGGGCTGCACTGCTGAGATTCTGACATACCTGTTGCACTTTGCCAGAGCATCCCTAAGCCTGATGAGAAGGCCTAGGTTGCTACATTTTTCCTTGCCTTCCCATGGCTTGTTAGTAACACTGGAGGAAGGGTGGTTTTTATGAGAGAGAGAAATCACAGGGAGTACTTAAGGGTTTCCTTTCCCCAAGGGAGATGAAGACAAGCCAGATTATTCACTTCCTGAAATTCTGGCACACCCCTTCTGCAAATATTGATTTTTAATCTCAGCAGCAACATCTGTTAGTGCTAACTTTTTTTGTGTGTTGCTAATGTAGCTAACTTTTTTTGTGTGCTGCAGGTAAGATGCAAAATTAGGCTCTCACAAAGATCTTAGAACTTGGGAAACTCCAATTTTTGTCTATAGTCTGATTATCAAGCAAGATAACCCCTCGATACCTGCATCTACCAGCATTTTTCTGTCCAGGCTCACCTTAAACAGCACTCAGGCCTTAGAGGAGTAAAACCAGGGTTAGGCAATAGTGTGTTGAATATGAGTTTTATGTTCCACTGTACTCGCATGGTTCCTTTTGCTGCATTATCTTCTCTTCCAGCTGGGGTGAACAGGATTTCTTACTGGCCTGCAGATCCCGAAATCAGCTTGCAAAACGAGGCGTCCAATCCCACGAGTACTGATGACGCAAAGTTAGATGCCAAAGCAGTAGAAAGACTGAAATCAAATAGTCGTGCTCGTGTGTGTGTGCTGCTTCAGCCTTTGGTGTGCTATATGGTGCAGTTCATTGAAGAAACTTCCACCAAGTTTGATTTTATTCAGAAAATAGCAAAATCACAGCCTGACTGTAATACTGACTTTTATACTGCGTGTAGACAAGAGAGAATAAAAGAGTATGAAAGCTTATTCCTAATTTCAAATGAAGAAATGCACAAGGAAATATTGATGACAATGGGACTGGAGAACCTCTGTGAAAATCCATACTTCAGCAACCTTAGGCAAAATATGAAAGATCTTGTCTTGGTCTTGGCAACAGTGGCTGCCAGTGTCCCCGTCTTTGGATGTTTTGGATTTTACAATTGTGAATCCCCAAGAACAAACGAAACAGATGAGCAGTGTTTGCCCCAAGACATTGCAAGGCACTGTATGATACAAGCCAGGCTCCTTGCATATCGGACAGGTGAGTTGTTACAGCAGTGGAACAAGGATGGGTCTCATGAGTAGAGAAAGTTCCTGATTTCAGTCTTATTCTTCCAAATGCTTCCTTGAGCAAGCTGTGGAACTCCATTCCTACGTGTGTGAAACAGGTGCAGCAGTAATAAAGAGTCCACAGGGGTACATAGTATTGTGTGTGAAAGCTTTCCAAGAGAAAATCAGTCCAGGTATTTCACTTACAGTGCTGGCAAACCCTGCCCTGCCAACGTGTCCAATATCCTACTGAAAACAGAACAGAATGACATTTATATTCTTCAAGCTGCTCTGAGGCTTATTTTACTGAGGTTTCACAAGATGCTTCTGTTATCAAATAAATGCCAATATTTCAAGCAGATAATGTACACTTCAGAAAAAAAGCAGTGAAATAATATCCTTTCAGTAGGGCATTAAGTACAGTTATATCAATTCTCCTAGTTCTAATCTTATTAGTAGAAGTGCTTATATATCTGATGGGGTTTTTTTTGCACAGATGCTGGAGTTTTATGTACAGGCTTCTGGGGTGGAAGGATATTTATTACTCTCTCTTGATAGAGATGACTTCTGTTCACTACTTTATTCTCTCTGGGTGGTAGCCAAGCAGTAAACCGATAAGTTCTTCCAGAGAACAGAATATGAAGACTTAAAACTTGGTGGTACTCCTTAGTGATGTTTTTGTCCTCCAGATATGATAGTTGCTTTTTCTAAACCATTGTAAACAAATAAAGAGTACATACATAGAGGTTAAACCAAAACCAATCCCCCAATACACACACACACAAACCCAACCTATCAAGTTAGGTACCCTCCACAGATTTGGTCTCCAAAAATTGCAGAGGAGATTGCATTTTTTAGATGCAATTCAGAAGTTTTACAGAACCAGTTGTGAGTTCTTTGTACAGCTACTGTTGTACTGAACAAGATGGAATGGCCAAGCTTGAGTACTCATTCTTGGAGCAGCAAAATTCAGTTTTATGTGTGGTTTTTACCCTGGACTCAGGTCTGTTTTTTGAGGAAGTTCTTATTCCACTTTAATCCTGTAATGAAATTAAAATAAATAGCAGCCCCCCACACACATTTAGATGCTTTACATTATTATATAGATGGATATAAGGGGAGCAAGATCATAGGATATTTTCTGTGTGCTGATGATAATCAGTGATTATCATTTTCGTCACTTCATCAGTGGCTAATAAATATGCAGAATATAAAAAAGTTCCCATAAAATATATCTTTGGCAGGAAAGACCCTTTTCGAGTGATTCAATATGGTAGTGATACTAAGGATGATGGAAATGATTAATAGAAACAGTGTGTTCTACAGTATCAATCAATGGAAGCCTGAAACATTTTTTCTCCTTGATATGCTCTGTTTTAATTGGTTAAGACTCTCATCAGTCGCTGCTGTGGAGGATTTCCGGGTTCCATAAAAACCTTCCAAGTCACATAATGAAAGTTGGATACCAGTTTTCCTGCAGTGGTGATATAACACACCCCCCAAAATCCAGTGGTTAATATTTTGTCTCTGAATTTGGTATAAAATACAACTAATTTTGATAGGAATTCAGACTGCAGAACCATAAACTTAAAGAATGGCAGAAATAAAGTAATTAAATTAAGTGGTAAACAATAAGAAGGTTTTTATCAGTTTGCTGTCTCACATCAGTGAACCTGTCCACGTACATTCTTGGCACACATTTTCTTACCTATGTGTTGGTTGCTTTGTTGCATTTTCGAGCAAATGCACACAACTAAGTCTCAGAATGACTGCCTTGCAGTTAAAGCACACCCTGCTTTTACAGGAGACTCATATGATTTCAAAACTCTTAATCTTTCTGCATTTCTTTCCTCCTGTCCACAAAGCAACAATAAATATTATTCCTTGCTCTAGGATGTCGTATGTTAATGTATAGGTAACTCGGAAGTGCTTTATTTGTTATTTACTCCTAAAATGTTATGTATTTTAGAGGATCATAAGACAGGAGTTGGAGCTATTATTTGGGCAGAAGAAAAATCAGTAAGTATTGAAAAAGTTACTTTTTCTTGCACTCAAAACTCATACATTTGCTTTGAACTTTTTATTTACCATTATACACCTCTGTTTTTCATGCAAACACACAGCACGATAGAAAGCTTGCGCTTCTCGTGCTTTAGTAACTAAGTTAATGACTAGTTCACTGTTATGCTTTTAGATGAAGGGGAAATATAAATGATTTTAGTAACTACTACAATATCTCCACCTGGACTTTCTGACTGCTTCCCTAGTCATTATCAGTTATTCCAGGTATCCTGGCTACAAGGTTTTGCCACAGCTGCTGATTGGGCAGCATGTGCCTACTCTCCATGATCCCTCTTTGCAGCTTTTTTTTTGGAGAGGTCTCAGTGCAATTATAGCTTGACAATCTCTTGAGGATATTTGTTGTACTTGAAATGCTGTACTGGCTTTAGCACTTTCCTTTTTGCATGAGAGTGGTATTTTTCTACAGATATTGTTATGGCGCTTTTTCCCATCCAAACATAAAGGTTTTATTTCTTTATGTCTCTGATTATGCATGTCCCAGGAAGCTTCATTCTTCGTGCAGGTGCAACATACTCTTCATTTGTTTTTAGCACCCAGTCATCAGCTGCTTACTGTTGTTTTGTTTCTTGTTCTGGTTTCAATTGCTGTTTGCTACTTATCGGCCACTGGTCGCTGGGTCTGTTAAGAGGGAGGTGAAACACCATCTCTGGCACATCAGGGATGAACTCCAGTTGTCTTTAATTTTATACATTGCAGACTAAGTCCTTCAGATTTCTTGTCACTGCTATCGGTATTACTTGCCAAAAGGAAAGCCTCTAAAGCCTGGTGCAGCGTAACTGAGATGTTACACTTTGCCTGTGCGGGTCCTACAGAGTTCAGTGGAAAAGCTCCATACAGACATGGAGCAGTTTGCAAGAGCTGAGCTCTCTTTCAACTGCTGCAACCTGGCTGAACTGATAATGTGACAGCATACATGGCACAGCGCTTTGACTTAGAACAGTTTAAATACCTCCAAATTTGGTGCTTTGCTTACTGTTGCAGAGAAGCTGTGATGGAACAGGAGCAATGTACTTTGTAGGCTGTGGTTACAATGCCTTTCCTGCTGGATCTGAATATGCTGATTTTCCACACATGGATGATAAGCAAAAAGATCGTGAAATCAGAAAGTTCAGATATATTATACATGCGGAGCAGAACGCCTTGACATTCAGGTAAATGGGCTTATTTTTACCACTGAAAAGAATGAGATGGTTCAGAAAGAATTCCATGGCAAATGCGTGCCATGGTTTAAGCCCAGCTGGCATCTGAGCACCGCACAGCTGCTGGCTCTCCCCCCCTGTCCTGGTGGAATGGGGAGGAGAATCAAAAGTAAAACTTACGGGTTGAGATGAGAACACTTTAATAATTGAAACAAATTAAGATAATAATAGTAATACTAATAAGGAAAAAGTGATGCACAATACAGTTGCTCAGCATTCACTGATCAATGCCAGAGCCCCTCTGGGTAGTTCCCCCAGTTTACATACTGGACATGACACTGTGGTATGGAATATCCTTTTGGTCGATTTGGGTCATACATCCGCCTTCTTGTGCAGCTCCTTATTGGCAGAATATGAGGCACAAAAAAAGTGCTTGATTCAAGGTAAGCACTTCTTAGCAACAACTAAAATGTCAGTGTGTTATCAACATTATTCTCCTACTAAATCCAAAGCACAGCACTGTACCAGCTACTGAGAAGAAATTAACTTTGTCGCAGCCAGCACCAGGACAATGCATGATGTCACTGTGATGAAGTGTGGGTTGCAATCACAGCCTTGTTTATGCCTATGATGTAGAACTTGGATGTGTGTGGAAACCAGCCAACTCCTGGGGTTTCTTCAGACTTCTCAAGTGAACCTGGTTTTTGAAGGATATTCACTCCTTCAGTTACTATTCAATACAAGCTACTGCCTCTGCTTCCTGCTAGACCATGCTATAACCTGAAATACGGAAGTGTGGCAGCTGATGAGGCTTCCAACAATGATATGTGTGGAGACATGGAATGAGTGTTTTGTTCACAGATAAAACCAAACCAGATACCATTGTGTACTTGTGCACTTGATAAGGAATAAGATGCTTCTGAGAGTAGTTAACACTTCTTTGCTTCCTCTTCTGAGGTGTCAGGTTTGTCACAATTCAAAGCCATCAAGATACGAACTCTGAAATTCTGTTTTCTGACTGCTTGTAGATGTCGAGAAATAAAGCCAGACGAGAGAAGCATGATATTTGTGACAAAGTGTCCATGTGATGAATGTGTCCCTTTAATTAAAGGGGCTGGTATCAAGCAGATCTATGCAGGAGATGTTGATGCTGGAAAAAAGAAAGCAGACATATCCTATATGAAGTTTGGTGAACTTGAGGGTGTAAGCAAATTTACAGTAAGTGTCTAAATATAGTATATTCTAAAAACTGTGGGCAGAATTGATGGGAGAGTAGAGTGAGCAGTCATCTGCAGCCAGCATAGGGGAGCACTGTGCTGTTAAGTCCGGTGAATGGAATTGAGAGGTTGCTCTGTCCCAGTTCTGGGGAGAAGTGCTGTGCCATATGGCAGATGGTGGGGCCAAATGTCTCTGTTTTCTGTATCTGCAGTGGGGATTTCCCTCTTCCTTTTTTGCTGTAGTTTGAGATGGTCTCTTCACACTCTGAAGTTCTCCAAAGCCTCCCCTGTCACAGCATGGCAGCTGATGTGGGAGATCACTGCATGATTTTGTTGGCCCTTCCAGCGGCTCCTGAAAGAGCTGCAGTGCATTTTGAAGGCAGCCAAGTGCACCTGCACTCAGTGCTCACCATGATGAACTGCAGCACTGTTGGTTTGAACAGGCTCATTTCCCCTTCTCAGGGGAGTAAATGTCTACACATTCCTTATCAGTTAGTTATCCTCAAAGCAAGTGTGTGTTCAAGGGGGAGCCCTTCATTTCTCACCTCACCCCCAGTCATGCCTCACAGCGTAGGTCTTTAGGGTACTTTTCTTTCCTCCCTTTGCTCCTTATTCTGTCTTCTGGAATAAGTAAACGTTTTCTTCTTCTTTTATCAGTGGCAACTAAATCCATTGTACACTAATGCCCTTGAATTCCATGACCCTACAGCCAGGGAAAGTAAGTATTTTCTCATTAATTTATTTTATGACTGAAGTCAATAAGTGAGATCATGTTTTAAACAAACCTGAATTTCTCTGTGATTGATTAGTCTAGTTAATCTTGTTTTCAATGAGTTAAATTTTGCTATGAAAACTTCTCTGAGTTTTTTGAATAAGTAGATGAACCAACTGTAAGTCAAAACCAAGCTTGTTTTAACAAATGCTTGGCATTGACACATCCGTCACAAAATCTAGTAATGCAGTTATCAAGGTCATTGCCATGCTGTTTTGCATATAGATCATTTCAGACTGCTTCATCGTGTTTTAAATTTTGTTCTATAAAGACTTTATATATTGTGTTCTATAAAGAGTGCCATTATTTTTCAGGAGAAATTGGACTCCTCCAAGTCATTTAAATATGTTTTGCAGAACATTTCAGTGCTTCTTATGTATTTGTGTGTATATACACGTGTATAATATAAAGGTCACAATATCCTTGTCATTGCACACCCTTTGTAGCAAGGGAGCTGTCATCTCCTGAAAACACAGTTTAGATAAGTCTTTTTTTGAAGCCTTTTTGTGCTATAAAAGGGACCTGCCATAGGCATCTTCTGTCAGCTACCAATCCTTAAAATGTTTCTCACCAAGAGGGGAAAATAACATGGAAAAAGCAGCTCAATGATTTTTGTGCTGCGAGCAGGAAGATACAGAGTGTAAAGATGGGGAGTTGGCAGTTGCTCAAAGCACTGAGTACTGAAGGTGTTTTTTGTGGCACACGAATAGCCACATACTCCAAGCTATGTCCTGACATGTAGTGAGATATGTTAGTGGAGAAGTCTCCTTCATTAGCTATTTCCTTATGGGCTGGGGGAAAGGGAGAGGGAAGGGCTCAGAGCAGTGTTTATGCCACTAGTGATCACTGCAAAATGTTAGGGCTTGTTCGTCCCTTCCTCTGTTAATGGTTTTTAGACCCAGCTGGAGAAAGATTCATCCTGGGGGTACTTTGTTTGACGACCTTTAACAAGGCTCATTTCTCTAATGTTTTAATATGGTGTGCTTGCATTTTCAAACTGAACTGTTTTAAGTTGCTCTCTTTTCTTAGTATGTTCCTCTTAGCTGTGCTTACTGTGTGTTCCTCTGTGAGGGAACTCCATCCCCTGCCCACCTCTTGTGTTATTCCAGTGTGCCTGTCTGAGTATTTAGACTATACTTGCTATTGTATTAATGTTTGACGCATATTTTTTTCTTTAGATGGGGTCCAGAAAACAAAATCGCTGGATGACCAGCTGCACCAAAACAAGAAACTGTGTCTTGGTCACTATTGAATAATTAAGCACTTCTGCAGTCTTGCTTCATACTTTTTATAATACAGCCTGTTTGCACTTTCAAATAAGGAACAGTTTTATTTATTGTTTGGAAAGTGAATTTTAAAATACGTTTATTTATGATGTCTTTAATGTTTTATGGAATTAACTGAAGGTCTTTTTAATTTAGAAGCTCCTGGCGAAAAAATGCTGCTTGTATTTTCTGTGAAAGTAACTGGGTGGCTGATCATTGTTAACACATTTTAAAAAATACTGAAAGTTTGTTGCTGATATATCAGAGTAAGAGTAAAATGGTGTCTTATTTGCTTGGTGTATGGGTTGAGGGAATGGATTTCTAAGTTCTGGACTAGCAAAATGCAGAAATAAGCCCTAGTTCTTCAAATACAATGGTCAAGGGGATCTTCTAGGAAATGGTAGATAAATAATCACCAGCAGCTGTTTCTGTTCCTGAAAGTGGCTTTTGCTTCTCAGTCTGCTCTGCAATATAATAGACACAAAACCATTGGGATAGCAATCATTGTTAGGTAAATGATTTGGATATCAATCTTGTCTCTCATACACTCTGTCTTCCACCTACCATAGCAGCAGTTGTTTCATGGTACTTGCCTTGCTGCTTTGTGTCCATCCTCAAGTGCAGTCCATCTGATTTAATGAAGACAAAGATTAGCTTTGTTTTTTCTCAGCTTCTGGATGCAGGCCTAAAAGCATTCAGCTGTATGCATCTCACTGGCACCTACATAAATGTGAAGATTGCTAGTGTTTTGGTTTTGTTAATCTTCACTAACAGCCTTCTAGGACTACTGAGGTGAATAAATTGCCAGTGTCCTGTTGTTTCTTAGATAGGATGATCTGTACCAGTGGAATACTCCAAATATTTTCAGGTGCCAATCTTTAATGTGGAGCAAGGGTGACATTAAAACAGCAGTGAAACTGCAGTCTAGTGCTTTTGCTAGTTTTGAGGGGGTAGGTAATGGGTAACCAGAACAATGAGTTGTACCCATCTTTTGAGAGGTCTCTGTCCTAATTCCCATCTGTTTCCTGCTTTGAATCTGACCTCTAGCTGTTTGTTTTAACAGATGCCTCAAGACTTTTTGTTAACTCCTCTGCTGAACTCTCAAGTGCAAATACCAAACCACTTTTTTCTGCTGCTGCTGGTAGGATACATGAACAGCCCTTTCCAGTTCTTTCATGCATTTTGTCTTTGCTGCCCTCCTTAAGGTCCTGGAAGGGGAATCATGTCTTAAGATACTGCTGTAAGTTGTCTTTGTTTCTTTTAGGTTTTGGAAAAGCTTGGAACTAGACAGCAAAGCTGTGATTGGATAGTGTGCAGAGCACCCTTAAAGTGATATTATTATATGGTATTCGTGCTCACCCAGTTTGGATACTGGTCCTGTAATTTAAGGTGTACAGTTCTTGATGCTTGGAGATGCAGGAAGGAGCTGTGCTTCCCCATGGCTCATAGCATAGCTTCATTCTTGAGTACCTGGACTTTAGAACTGGGGAATGCTTATATCCTCTTACCATCATGAGAATTCACCCTTCCTGAAGCTGGAGAAGCTGCTGTTTCTCTGAGCCTAGTAAGACTGAAGGCTACTTCAGGGCTGCTGGTTGAGTGTGGTATGTGCAGGGCTGGCAGCAGAAATCTCACCAGGTGATTGGCTGACCTCCTTCACCACTGCTGCCTTGCCAAGCAGGATGCATACAGTCCTTTCCCAGGACCAGGTAGAGAGTGAAAGAGAAAAATCTGACCCTCTTTGTCAACTTAAGGGCATGATGGTGAAATCCATTTTTGTATCACACCTCAAAAGACTGCTTTCTCACCGTAGCTCATGGGGAAATTGCTGAGCTGCCACTTCACCAGGTCTTGTAATCCAGTGCTGAGGAACCTAGGTCCTGAATCTAGGATGAGCAGATCCAGCTGCAAGGGGATTAAGTCGTTGATCTGGGTGCTGTATAAACCTCAGAAAGACATTTTTTTTCCTCTGATCAAGGATTCCATAGTTTCATTGTTTACATCTTTCATATGAGGATAAAGTCAAATGTTGCGGTTTCATAATGGGTTTTTAAATCATAAATATCTTACTTCAACATATGTCCTTTTCACTTTTTATAAGGATCTTGTATTAGAATAATTACTCTTGGCTTTTTCGACAGATCACTGCCCAAATTAAAGTCTGCCCTACTCCACCCACTGAAACCTTCTGGTTTCCATAATCCACTGGCAATACTCTTATATTGAGGTAGAAGCAAGGAAAAAAACAGGGCCAGGTTTAAGTTTGATCCTCTTCAAGTTTTATACTGATCAGTCTGCTGGTATTAAAATCAGTAAAATCTGTGTCTTTATATGAACAGCTGAAATCAAAAAGTCCCTGAAACATTATAAGTGGCCTGGATACACAGAGAAGTGGTCAAGATTCAAGTCAAATATCACGCACATGAAATAACTACACTGCAGTAAACGCTGCTGGTGACCTGTACTTCAGGAGGACTTAAGATTCTACCTTTACTTTAAATAACTTTTTTTTTAAAAGAGGATTTTTTTACAAAATTTTCTGTGAAACTTGCAATTGCTTGTAAGGCTGAAGGCTTGGAAGCCTGGCTTTATTTGCGTCTTGCTGTTTTCTACAGATTCCTCCAGGTGCTCACAAATTTCTGTAGGCTCTGATTATCAGTATAACCCTACTTCTTCAATTTTTACTGGAATTACAAAGTAGAGGCTATATCTTGGCCAACAGGAACAATGTGAATGGGGTTTCTCTCTAAGCCTGTGGACTCTGTAGGTGCTGCTGTGCTTGTCTGCTTACGAGGGAGAGCCATGGAAGATTGGACATCTCCTGCAGTGCTTATTTTGCAGATGAGCTCTAGGATGTTTGTTTCTTACGTAAAAATTACAAAGTATTTACTCAAGAAATGTTAAAGTTATATATTTTATATGTTGTATGAAATTTCCATGTGCATTTTGTGTCTCTTCCATTCATTTCAGAACAATCATTTTAATTGCAGGTATTAACTATCAGTAATAATTTGGCCTCTTGACCAAGAATTACAGAAATTCACTGTTAATTGTCTGCCTTACAGCAAAACATGTTTTCTGCTAATAAATTAATCTGACAGTAAGTACTGAAGTGTATTTTTAAGTGCTTTGGATTATTAGGAACATTACAGGGTGCTTTGGAATGCTCACACCCCTTACTGGCCCAAAGCTCTCCTTGCTCCTGCAGCCCCAGCTGTTTGCTGAGCTGGATCACCTGCCTCTGCACTGCCTGAAGAATTTGTCTCAACATGAGACTGTGCCTCCTGCCAGTCCCAGGGAAGGTCTGAGATCCCCCTCCTTGGGCCTGTGAGTATTAATTCCCTCTTCCTCAGGAGAGTAAGAAATGCCTCAGAGAGCACTGCGTGAGCTACCACCTCCACGGGCTGTTCCGTGGTTGGAGAGGATCAAAGTCGGTGAAGCTTTGACCATCCAGCAGTAAATTGGTCCCTGCTGCACTTCCTGCTTTGCTGCCCTGGATTGCCTGTATGGGCACACGCAGGTGTCCCAGTTCCCAGTCACACAGAGCAGAGTGGAATTGCTGTGGTGATCGGGGTCAACAGCTGTGAGAGTCTGTAGCATGAAGCAGGTGATGCTAGGGGTCTGACCCATCAGGGGTTTTACATCCACCTAGTTCCAGCCTGAGCACATGGGCTGAGGGCCTGATAGCCAGTGGAGTACATTAAGGGCTATTCCTACAGTTCGTTTTCCTGTTAATCTGAAAGGAATCCACTCAGTGCACTCCAAGACTGGCTTGTGTCACGGAGTCACATGCAGTAAGCAGGGGGATGCATTTCAGAAGTGCTTTTGAACTGAAATGTCATTGTAGAAACACAGTGAACAGTCAGTGGGACACAGCCAGGCTGGCAGTGGGACAGGCTTCCCAGAGCCGTGTTTAACGTGGGAACTACTCTGAAAAACTTTGTAGTCCTCTCAATAGATTTTTTTGTTTCAGTCATTGTGCCTGCAAAACAGACTTCAAATATCTGGCTTTAATTTGTTGGATCCAGTAAGTGACATTCCTTGGAGAACAGGAAACCAAAGAAGGCTGATGGTACCTGCTGATTTCAGATAGATCTGGATTACTGTTGTACTGGATCTGTATATACCTATATATCAGGTATTGATAGTGAGTGGGTGGCTTCAGGGGTGGGTTCTGTGAGATGGTGCCAGAAGTTTCCCCCACATCTGATACAGCCAGTGCCAGACGGATCCAGGACGGACACATTGCTGGTCAAGGCCAAGCCAATCAGTAATGGTGGTAGCGCCTCTGGGATAATAGATTTAGGAAGTGGGGGAAAGTTAACTGCACAAGAGCAGTTGTAGCTGGAGAGAGGAGTGAGAATAGTCAAAAGAAACAGCCCTGCAGACACCAAGGTCAGTGAAGAAGGAGGGGCAGGAGGTGCTTCAGGAACCTGAGCAGAGATTCCCCTGCAGCCCGTGGTGCAGACCATGGTGAGGCAGCTGTGACCTTGCAGCCTATGGGGTTCGACAGGCAGAGCAGAGATCCACCTGCAGCCCATGGAGGATCCCACATCTGAGCAGGTGAATGCCCAAAAGAGGCTCTGACCTGGTGGGATGCGTGAGCCCTATCAGGCTTCTGTCAGGACCTGTGGGAAGCCAGTGGAGATAGGAGCCCACACTGGAGCAGGTTTGCTGGCAGGACTTGTGACCTCGTGGGGATCCATGTCGGAGCAGCCTGTTCCTGAAGGAACAGTTAGTGAAGAACGGCAGCCTGTGGGAAGAACTCATGTTGAAGTTTGTGGAGGGCTGTCTCCCGGGGGAGGGATCCACGCTGGAGCAGGGGACGTGTGAGGAGTCCTCCCTCTGAGGAGGAAGGAGCAGCAGAGACAACGTGTGGTGAACCGACCGCCGCCGCCATTCCCCGTCCCCCTGCACCACTGCGGGGGTGGGAGGTAGAGAAATCGGGAATGAAGTTCAGCCCGGAAAGAAGGGAGGGGTGGGGGGAAGTTGTTCTCAAATGTGTTTTTATTTCTCATTCCCCGGCTCTAATTTGATTGGCAATCAATGAAATTAATTTCCTCAGCGCACCCGCCCCACCCGCCGGCATGGGAAGGTGCATCACCGCATCGTGACCGCCAGGGGGCGCTGCTGGCAGGGAAATGTCTCCTGGGGAGGCCGCCCCGGGATGCCGGGATCCACCGGGATCCACCGGGGTGCCAGGCTCAGGCCCCGGGAGCGGGGAGCGAGCGACCGGCTGTGGTCTGCCACATACAAATTACATTATTTAGTTATCATATATTATATTAGTGCATACAAATGTTTTAAGGCCGGGTGTCGACAGGATGGTGAGGCCAGACTGTTTCCAGTGGTTCCCAGCGAGGCAACATTGGACAACGGGTACAAAAGAAACACAGGGAATTGCGTCTGAATATGAGGGAGAAATTCTTCACTGCGAGGGTGACAGAACACCAGAACAGGCTGCTCGGATAGGCTGTGGAGTCTCCTTCCCTGGAGACACTCAAACCCCACCTGGATGCAATCCTGTGCAATCTGCTCCAAGTAAACCTACTTTAGCAGGGTGATTGGACAGGATGGTCTCCAGAGGTCCCTTCCAACCCCCGGCACTCCATGATTGTGTGACTGCGACCGGCACACAGAGAGTTCTGCTGCTGCAGACAGCAAAAGAAAAAGGTGTGCTGATGCTCACTGTAAATGTCAGAGCACTCGAGACAGCTCAGAGCTTGTAAATGGGAAGAGGAAAAATCGCGGCTGGCATGTCTGTCATGGATGTAAAGGGCCTCCTCACTTGGCCAGCGGCAGCACAGGCCTCACCATGTTTGGGCTGGGAACAGACATGTAGAGGAAAATGCTGAGCCTGGCTTTTTCCCTGGGGTATTTTGCAGTGTGACATTTATCTTCTGCACTCCAAGTATCAGCTGCTTGTACAGGAAATTTTCCACTTTTCTGGGGAACCAAGCTCTGCCTCAGCACTGGGCAGCTTCCTGTAGCTACAGGACCACTGTGCATTCCCTCTGCTATTGAAGGGATGGGGTCTGTCCAGCTTCAATGTACTCCTGCAACATGTTCTGAGTGGCGCTAGGCAGATATATTAACAGTGAAGCCTTTGCAGTCTGCTTGCATTTTCCCTCCTCCTTCGCCCACATTGCTCAACTATCTTTACTTTGGCTCCAGTGAGGTCACCTCACTGCTTTGCAAGTAAATTTTCCTCCAGGGCAGCTAAATTTCTAACTTGGAGGGTAAATAAGGGGTTGAAGAAGCCTGGGGAAACCATGAAGCATTTGAACAACAACTTCAGCAAGAGCCAGGCCTCAGGGACATGTCACACAAATGTCAGCATATACACATTGCTCTCTTTCCCCCCTATGTCATTTCAGAAATACCTGGAAGACATATGTAAGATAGTGTGAGTGCCAGTATGTTCACCTGCAGTTAGTCTTTCATTCCTGTTGTGGGGAAGACAGATTTAGCTAGAGAAAACAAAAGCCGAGGAGCTTAACTGTATGGCTAGAAGTGCTATTTATTAGGAGGAGAGCTGGGTCTTTTGTTGGAATGAACATATGCCTCTCCTCCCTCTGCAATGCCTGTCATCCCCCGGGACATCCTGATTTCTTGCCTGCTAGTCCCCAGTGTCGCTTTCCCTTAAGCCTTGGACAGCAAGCACGAGCTATTGCTGTCAGCCCACAGCAAGAACCTGCTCTGTGCCATGAGCTAATTGTGGCTCTGCCCTTGACACTCCTTGGGGCACAAGGCAAGTCAATCTGTGAATTTAACTTTTCCCCCACACCCAGCTTTAAAATGGGGAGGAGATGCCTTTCTCCATTTCCCCATAGGATTTCAAGAGCCCTGCCCCCTGCAGGCTCCTGCTTGTTCCATGCACATAGAGCCTGTTGGGCATCTGACCATCTGCCTGAGCAAATGCCGGGTTTGTTTGCTCCCTGTTGGCTGCCGGGGCAGGGCAGTGCCGGGGTGTGCCGCCTGCTGAGAAGCCAACCCTGACTGCGTGTTTGCACAAACAGATGCAGCGGGCTCTGCTTGACAGGGGTATTTTTAAATCCACTCTAGACCCTTGTCAAAGCCAGCTGTTCTACAAGGGAGTTGAAGGGCATTGCCAAAGCTGAGCGTCAGGAGAGCCAATGTACCCTGCAATTTGGAATTAAAGGGCCTCTATTCATAAGAGTTGAGCAAGGCACTTCATGGCCCCAAAGACATGGTCCTGTCTTCTCTGTGCCCTTGGAAGAAATAACTCCACCTGCCCTCTCCCCAGCACAACAGTCACTGAGCCACAGGGGGGGAGCTGCCTCCCCTCTGTGGCACGGCTGGCCGTGGCTGCACCCCTGGCACAGGCTGTCCCCATGCTGCCACTTGCTGCAACACAGCCTGAGGTGGAAAAGGTTATTTTTACTGTGGCTTTGGAAAGTCCCTTGCAACTGATGCCATAGAAAAGGGGTAGGTTGTCTGATTGTTTTTCCTCCTCTCACATTTCTGGAAAGAGGGGCCAGCTCGAGGCAGGCGATGTGGAGCAGGACCATGAATCAGGAGGGCTGGGTTCCTGGCCTGCCTCTCCCTGGGGTTCTTGGGGAAGCTGGGCCAAGTCACAGCCTTGTGAGACACTTGGCTTAGAGCTGAACCACACGGCCAAAACTGCTAACCTTGCAGTTAGGCTTAGGCTTCCCCTTAGCCTTGTCCCACATTCCCTGCCCAGCACAAACTGTGCTCAGAGCTCGCTTGGTCTGCTCATACCTTGTGGCCTCACAACAGAGCCCGAGGGATTGGAGCCTTTGCTGGAGGCAAGGCTCACCTTCAGCATGGGCTGGGGTGGCAGGGACTTTCTCTTCCTTCTTTTCCCTCAGCCACAGCAGCTCTCACCCACAGGAGTCTCTCTCACCATGGGGCCAAGCCTCCCACTGGAGGCTCCAGGATACCTTATTACCCAGTCCATGGAAACCTATATTTTTATGCAAGAATGCTCAGTCAAGAAAGGGGAGAGCTAAGGTACAATCGCCTTTCATGTCACAATGCCTTATAACAACTATCACCACCAGGCATAAGACATTCTGCAGGAAGGGGCTTCCAGACAAAATGTTGAAGTGCTTCCACTTCAGACAGAAAAATGAAGCACTTGTTGGCCCAGAGAAAAAGCGTCTCTAGTGACCAAACACCACTGCGCCCTTTGGAAAGAGGCCTGAGTTCTCTCAGCCCTGCTCCAATTTCACAGACAAGAGCAAAGCACGCGCTAGAGAACAAATGGGATCTGGAGCTCCTCTCCCTCGTGCATGTTATCATTAGATTACAAGGTCCAAGTCATTCTTTCCTTCTCATTTGATTTTTTCTCTGGAGAATGAAGATTAAGAGGCTCAAGCAGTCCTAACGCCCACGTTTGTTGAAGGCCAGAGTCCCGTGGCCTCCCCCGGGTTCACACCTGCTGGCGCACACGCCAGTGCGCACTGGGGAGCCTGTTGCCACCTCTAATCAGATTTTTCTTATTTCAGCACAAGCTGCCCAAATCCCAGGACAGAAGTTCATGGTTTAAAGATTCCTGGCACTCTGCTGTATCAAATAAGGTTTGACGTTGCAGGATTGTACACTGCGTGTTTGGCAGAGATCCAGACTCCCCTGCATCTGGGAAGGAAGAGGAGAGGCTGCAGACCAAGCATCCCCAGCTTCTTTCTCTCTCTGGATTACAATCTTCTTTCCTGTCCTCACTCTGATGAAGTGTGTCCTGCAATCACACAGCTCCCTCAGATAGTAATTTCAGATAAATTGTGAGTTCCTAGTGGGAGGACTCCCTTAGGCAGAAGAATCACCTTGACTGAATGCACCAAAGGAAATCTGGAGTTCTGTGGTTTAGCAAAGTCGCACTAGAAAAGACCTCATTTTCATTTAATTAGGCATGTGTCCCCATCTGCTGGGAAATATTATTATGGTGCTTAGTTTCATCTTCACCTTTTCTTTTGCTTTTTATTCTTTCAAAGACCTAAGCAAGCTGAGCCTGGGGAAGACTCAGTTACTTTGAGATGTGTTGGCAATATCTACTTCAGGACTGGCTTCTTGTAAAATAAGCTGCAAGGGGCCTGGAAAGTGTAATTTTACTGTAAGACCATGCCTTTTTCCCCCTCTCTCTTGCAGACACACACACAACTTTTTCAAAGTTTTCCTTACCACTTACTCATGTGGTCCAATGACTGCTTGCCCTGGAAAAGGCTGCCCTCGCAGGGATGGGGCCCAACGCCCTGTTCCCCATTGGCCTTGCACATCTCTGCCTGCACAAACACCAGGGTGTCACTTCACTCCTCATATTACAGCCAGGTTTGTATGCCTTCAAGTGCTCCATGTCCAGGTTGTGCAGAAAAGAGCAGCTCACAGCACTGACCTCTCACTCTCTGGGCACCTCTGTGGGGGTCACATTCACTTTGTCAAGGACAGGCATTCCTCAGCAACACTCCATTAGATGCTTTTTCCAAGCACCAGCTGGAAGCCCCGTGTTCTCATGTGACTCCAGGGGCTGAGGCAATGGACACGTGTCTCTTTGTTAAAGCAGCCTTGGAGACCAGCCCCACCCCAGGAGCTCAGAGCACAGCCAAGCACTCTTCAGATTCAGGCTCCAAATGTCAGAGGATCAAACTTAAATCACTGGCTCCGAGGACTGCGATTCTGGAGATGGTCCCTCATCGACCCACAAGTGACCACTGACAGCGAGCACCACCCATGGGGCTGGGGGTGCAGCTTGTGGTCAGGCTAAGCTGGGCTGCGGTCGCCAGCCCCCTGCCAGCCAGGGTTGCAGAAGTGATGCTTCAAAGTGCATTGAGCTCCAAAGGCAGTGCTGCTCATCTCTCTCCATCTGCTGAAACCCACTGGCAAAGGACGGAAGGAATTAAGCACTGCGTGGAGTCTGGCTATCCAGAAAGACAAGAGAAAAAAACCCCACAGGGATAGAAATAAAGGGTGATCAGTAATCATGCCTTTAATAGCTTGTAATTTTTTTTTTAATTCCAGGCAACTAAGATGTATATTTGTTGTGTGTATCTGACATCTGAAAAAAAAAAAAAAAGAGTCCACAATCTGTTCCATTTCTTCCCTTTTCTAAAGCACAAAAATTAAAGTATCAGTCACCCCAATATACCACAGTTTAATGAAAGAAAAGGGATCGTTCTGTTTTTACAATTCAGTGTCACCTTTTATCTGAAGCATTAGCTAGAGTTTTAGCTAAAGAACTGTCTTACAGCAAATAGGAAAACTCAGAACTTAGGCTGTCCAGAAAAATTCAAGAAATTTCCACTCCCTGCTCTCAAACTCCACTTCCTAATAAAGCCTCAAAGTAACATTTTCCTGCTAGAAAACAAAAGACCCCAAAAACTCTTCCAACACACCAGGGAAACACTGTCTGTACCACGGAGCTTATTAAACTTAAAACATTAGCAGTGCAACAATTTCCCATTCTACAACTTTAATGCAGAACTTGAGTTCACATCAGGATGAGCAAGGACAGAAAACGCCAGACTGTAAGTAGCCTTTGGTGCCTGGGGCTCCTAAATGGTCTCCTACTCTTGATTTTGATATCCAGTAAATGCTCTGAGCTTTGAAAGCACCTGCAGGCTTGGGGACCTCAGCCCACTCAGTGGTTCAGGATGACACCTTTCCAGCATCCCCTTGGTGAACTCAGCTCAACCCTACCTCGCACAGACAGGACTGGAATTCAGATGGGAAGACACTGAGGACCCTCCTCTCTCACTGGTGCTCGGGCTCAGCACTTAGCATGATTCAGCCGAGCAGCTCTGGCCACGACCCCATATTCTCTGCTATTGCTGGTTTCTGTAGATGCAGGATCTTTATTGGCAATAGAGCACAGCCTTGATGGAGGGGGGTTGCTCTTGCCTTCTTCCCACTGTGGGGTACATGGGCACCGTGTACCTGGGGCTGCTCCTCATCAGACTGCTTGGGAGCTGATGGGATTGGCCTGTGCTCTAAAAAAACATAGATCACATACAGGGAAATGGGAGCCAGGCAGAAACAGCTCAACTGGCTGATGTATCCATCTGTTCCATAGTACTGAATAGGAAACCTCTGATCTACGGAAAAACAAAACTTAAAAGAATACAAAACAAAGCAAAAACGTGACCTTTACTGCTTTTTCATCTCCCGCTATTCTGACTAAAGGACTTGACCTATAAGTGCAGCTAACTCCAGAGACGAAGGTACTCTTTCACAGTCTTGTGTGTGTGTGTGCAGCGCTAGAAGCAAGTCACAATGACAGGTGTGAAGGAACAACATTGCAGTCCTCAGAAGACCTGCTCTGTGCACTTGCCAGCAGCTTGGGTTTGCTGATAAAGTTAAGCAAAGAGGTTCATTCTTCTTGAGCACAAATGAAAATCTGTCACACCAGCTTCTATTAGAGAGAGATTCTAAACTGTCATAAATAATTATACTCTTGATTAAAAATAATATATTATTCTAGATTTTTGGTTTTTTAGTTCTCATGTAAAACCCCTATATTCTTGACATCTAGGAACAAAGACAAAATAAAAACCAGGCACTTGCTGTGCCTTCTCAAGCACTATTGTGGTGTTTAAGGGACACAGAGGAAGTTAACAACTCAGTTTAATGTCTACAGTGGAAAACAAGAGGAGTTCTTCATGCCGTCGGCTTTTTCAAGTCTCGGATTTGCTTAATCAGGTAGTTCTTCTCATCAGTGAATTGTTCATCGTCAGTCCTCTCTTTCTGGAAATTGCTCAGAAACTCAATTAGCTTGGGTTGGTTTTTCAACAGGATCTCCACAATAGGCTGTGTTTTGTTTGGACTGGCCACAAAAACCTAACATGCAAACAAAATCAGGCATAGAGAGACAGTGAGGGGGTGGGGACAGAGAGAAAGAGAGAAGAACATCAGTGACAACATACCCATAAAGTTATTTTCTAACAAGTCAGCTGAAGGCTGGCAGGCGGATACTCTGCTGCTACACACCTTGTCCCAAGGCAGACAGAGAGGAGTTTAAATATGTTGGTTCAAGAGCAAATTGAAGCCAAGCTATGCCCATGTGTGGCATCGCTTCCTTTTCATTTTGCTCTTTGTTGATAAAAACTTTTGATTGTAAACCCAGCTGTCCAAAGCAAGCTATCAATTCTCAGCCTCTTCTACCCACAAGACAAATACATAGAAATTAATTATCAGGAGGATGGAAAAGCTTTGTGTCAGTATTGATACCATTTCCATATTAAACCAGGCCTAAAATTAGACTTGCCAGCTTTGTTTTGGTTTGGAAAAATATGTCAGAGGCCCAACTTCCCTCTGCCTAATCCATTCATGGGAGCGTGGAAACTTACAGCAGCAGGAGCAGGATGGTGTGCCCAGCACCTTCGCAGCCCTCGCTGAGCAGTGGAGGTTGGCGATGGAGGGAGGTGACTTGAGACACAGATGTTCACCGGGCACAGCCAGCCCAGCACTGGGGACTTACTGGTCTTCTGCAATAGCAGGTTTTAAGGATAAGCCTACCCATGCTCTGATTTTTCCCCCTGTAATCCCAAAAGCTGCAGTTTTCCAGCTCTGAATATTATGCCTTACACCGCAACACCGTTTCTTTAAGTTTTTCCCCTGCGTTAAGTGCCGGCTGAGGATGGTAAACCTAAGGCTGGTTGCAAAGGCCAGTGGTGCTGAGCTCTATTTTCAGGGACCTCAGCCTGCAGAGATGTGGGCTCTGCGGACATCAGTCAGGAGGGGCAGGTGAGGCAGGGGGCCTGCGGTGGGAACACACGTGCAGCAACCCTGGGAGGAGTTCCCACATCTGGCTCGCACTGAGGTTACCATGGCTGGTCAACAAAACACCGCCTGAGCGCTTGTGCAACGACGGAAATAACTTCAGTTGTTCTCTACCCAATGAGAAGAAACTAAGGATGGACAGAACTGGAAAGCACCCAGTTTCCCTCCAAGCCTGTCCAAACCAGAATGAAAACAAACATCTGCTGACAGTACAGAATGGCATGTTGTCTGTCCGACAGCAGGGGCACCACCGCTGGCCCAGCCGCGGAGCTGATGGCTCCAGACCTGGGGGCCTCTTCCACAGATTCATTTATCTCCACTGAGGTCACGCCCACATGAGAACCTGGGCCACGTCCAGCTGCACAGGGAGGAGCTGTGCTGTGTGAGGAGGAACACGGACACTCTGCTGGGGGCCTGCCTTACAGCCCCTTGCCCCCAGAAACTACACCTGGTACAGCCTAGGGCAGGGTTCAGACTGGACCCACTGTTAGGCTTCATACATTACAATAGAGGATGTTCCACACTACCACTTGCATCAAGTGCCACATGAGGGGAATGTGTGGAAGGAGTGGGGCTCAACACACATCAACAGTGCCACACAGTATTTCTGCCCAAACAGGAAGGTAAGAGTATTTTTTTATTCCATTAAGGTGAGGCAAAGCATCTACTCTTAAACCCTGGCATCTTGATGTTGTAACAGCCCTAACCTTTGCCCATGCTTTTATCTCCTCTGGATCCCTCCTCCTCAGGCTGGTCCCTAGGAGTCCCTGCTTCAAGGTGCTCTGCAGAAAGAACTGCAACCTCTGCTACGCTGGGTAAACACTTCCAGACTCCAAGTGTACTACGAAGTTTTCCTTGAACCAGTGGCCAGGCTGTGGTCCCTGTGACAGCACAGTATCTGCAGTTATTCACACAGGCCTCCTCACCCTTCTCCGATTACCCCGAGCTATAATCCTAAATAATTCCTTTTTTAGTCCTACTTGCCACTTTAAACTTCTCAAGAGTAGCACCAACAGCCTCCACTCTCAAGGACCCCTTCAGAGCACCCATTCTGGAAAACAGCTCTCCTGAACAATGTCCCAGGTACTGAGAATGCAGTTTTGTACCAGGGATACACCAGCCCCTGGGTGGGACAGCCAGTTTACAGCTCTCACTACACCTGATGGACTGTCAACAACTAAGTGTTCTGTTGCTGCCTGCAGCATATGAAAGCAGGATCTCCTCCTTTGCAAATAACTTTGATACACTGTTGTTGATGTATTGGTTCCCCCTAGACTGGGATATAAAGGGTCTGGGGATGTACATCACTACTGAACATACTTTACAGCTTTCCAGTCTGTGCTTTACCTAGGGAATCTTGAAATCTCATGTGTACAGATGTTTGGCTCAGCTAAGACTGCAGCAGTTCATATTCTCAGCTGGAGCTGCCCTAGGATGCAGCTCCCCATGTGCTGACCTACACACCAGGTGACACGCTGATGGAGGCTGGATACTCCCAGGATTTGGACTATGATAAGCCCCCAGTCATCTGGACAAGCTTCCTTTGAGAAAAGCAGGACGTAAGCCTACAGGTAGGGATGAGGAAAGTAACTGTTTACAGATCTTCATTAAAAGTTTTTAATTTTGGAGTTCAGTTCCGCCTTGGTGACCAGGAGAAGAAAACCATCAAGTACACGCTGGCAGGACCCACATGTTCAGAAATAATCTGATGATGCAAATGGAAGCCATTAAAGAAGGCCTGACCTTGAAGTGCTAAACATCTTCCTTCAATGAATATTAGGCCTCCCTAATATTTGTCCCTAAATACAGGTGAAGGGTGACTCAAAATTAAGAGATCTAAATAATTCTTCCTGTAAAAGCTATCTGCTCTTCAAACAGAACTGCAAGGTTAGTGGTAAACCTAGTAAATAGCATTGCATATTGGTCCTACCACTGGTATTACCATAGCAAATAATTAAAGAACTTAGTTTAATGGAAGCCATCACATCCTGTTTATCTTCCTGCTTGAATATTTATAGATTATAATCTTCCCCTTGCAAAACTGGCAAACTGAACATTCGAACAAAGATCATCTCAACTGCCAGTCTTGCTCAGTGTCAACAGGGACTCGTAAAGAGAGAATGTTCAAGGACCAGAAAATTCCTGAAATGTTATTCAATACTTCAGCTAAGCAAACAAAATCAATTCTACCAGTATCAACTGATCAACTTCACATAGCCCAGGAGTAGGACCACCATGAGACTTTACTTTAAAAAGAGTCCCCCTCATTCAGAACTCTGTATGGTCATAGAGGGGAAGATCAATCCCTAAAATAGAAATCATTATTAATGCTTTCTGGAATATTTCTACTAAAATGAAGTTGAATCTAACCACAGAGAAATTAGTTTCACCTGTAGTTTTATTATGAAAGGGTGAGTTTTCTAGAGCACTAAATTCAGATAGCTGAGAGAGATGGAGACCCAAAATAAAGAGAGCACTCATATAAAAATTCCAACTCTAAATACAGCTGTTTAGGCACAGTTCTGTTTTGTGAATATTTGCAAAAGGCCTGGAATGAAAATCAACTCTGAAGCTTCAAAAATTGTCCAAAGTGGAACAGTTCCTATCTTCTCCATTAAAAGTCATACTGTATTTCTTCAAACAAACATCAAAATTACATGATTAGAGACTTTGACTTTATTTCCTTACAATTAATAACCAGGCATTACCATCCTCTGGGACTACAGCAGAGCAAAAGTGATTACAGAGGTTGGATGCCCTGGAGTGAGTATTTTAAAACTTACTCTGGGGTCATGCACAATCTTACTGTCAGGAAACTGCACAGAAGAGCCTTACGATTTGTGTTGCTTGTAGCACAATGCTTTGCATAATAATTCCTGCCCTTTAAGCTCTCCAGCTAAGAAACAGAGAGGACACATCCCTACAAATGTGGTTTCAGCTTCATACCAAGAGGAAACTGCTGGTATGGTCAAATTATGTGAGGCCATTTGCAGAGCAAGCTGCAGGAGGTAGCTCGTAATGTGCATGAAAGAGAATGGAAAAATGAAACTAAGGTCACAAAACACAGTGTACCCATTCTATTTTTAGATTTAAACAGTAAAATATATCTTGCTAAATGTCTGCTTAAGAATGAGAAAGTTGCATAATCCCAGTTCACTGCTACAGGGTGTTTTCCTCAAAATAATCTAATTGTTTACGTGAAAGCCAAGAGAGCTTGTTGTTAACTTTTATTTGTAAATATGTAAGGTCAAAGGAATACCTGCACTGCATTCACCTACATCTGACAGATTTGATCTCCCCTACAAACAGACGAACTCCAAGTAGGCTCCACTACTCAAACATATCACAAACCCATCACAGAAGCTGGAGAGCCCTTTCCAAGACTTGGGAAGTCTTCAGTGTGTGTGTGTTCAAGACTGACATCTCTCCACTGAAATCACTGCAGAGAAGAACCAGGGACTCTTATAAGCCTACAACTCTAGGCGACCCCCTTGGATTATTTATGGAGGAGGAAGGAAGGGGGTGAGGTGTGTTAGCCTTTCACAATGATTAAATACTTAGTAATCCTTGTGCATTGTCTGGGACATCCAGCTCTACAAAGCAGCTGCAGACATTCAGAATGGTGCTGAAAGGTAGAAGCTCCATTTTGCTCAGGGAAAAGGAAGAGAAGGAGCTGGAGTTAGTAGGAAAATCAAGCATCTCCACAGTGGAGAATGGAAAGAGGCACTGCAAGTGAGCAGTCTGTCTTCATTTTCCCACCCAAAGCAGCCTGGATGAATAAAATATTGTCAGAACTTGGGGGTACTGGCTTGTTCAGCCACAAAATGTTCCTGCAAAGTAACATTTGCAAAGTAAGTAAGTTTGCACTAGAAGTACTCATCATTTTAATCTCTCTTACGGTTTCAAATCTTTAATAATTAGAAATTGCCTCAGGGAGTAAGAGTCATAAGCCTTTTTTTTGGGTCAGCTGGGGCATGGGAGTGTTGGAATCTGGATGCTTACAAAACAAACACTTTTTCATTCCTACTGTGTCTAACTGGTGAAACATCTAAATCAGGTAATTTAAACCCAAATCTTTTGGCAGCTCAGACAGAGCAGCAAGTATCTACTTCTCAGCAGACCTTGATTCCAAATCACTGTGGTTAGTGTACTGTAATTTCAGCCAAGACTGCACAGGTATTTTGCAAGCATAACTTAAAAATGTAGGCACAGTTTAAAATTTATGAGATTAAAGCTGAGGACAAGATTCCTCTCCCAGTTACATTAACATGGAATTATTACAGCTGACAAGAGAACCTGGCTGAGGGACACAAACCCAGAAACAGAAGGCAGGGACACTGCAGAACAGGGCACAAACAGTCAGTCTCTTAAATATTTAAGGATTTCCTTCAGTAGTTCTCAAGCAGTTAGAACTCAATTTAAGAAGTGAAATTAGAGGGAAAAGTCCTTCTCTGACCCTCTCCACAAAGCTAATTCACAATGCGATTTTCTATGGCATAGCCTGTAATGACCCTTGCCCCCTCGGGAGAAGCTGAATGCTTCCACATCCAGGGAACCCAGATCCTCAGCGAGGAGGATCCTAAAAGGGGAGCTCTGCTGCACCTCTACAGTTACTCTCGTGTGCTGTTGGTGGTTACAAACGAGCCACTTCCAGCTGATCAGCTTCTGCTCTGAGTCTGCAGTTTCCCCCCAAGGAGCACCACGTGTGTGAGGCAGTGTGAGGAATGCCATGGCACCGCTGAAATGCTGCTGATTGGTACCACCGGAAAAAAACCAACAGCATCCCACTGAGCTGAGAATCTCAGCACAGAGCTTGGCCCTCCCTTTGAACTGAAGAGACACAATGTCACTGCTGCTCCCTCTTTGTTTTGCTGGGCACTCCAAGGTCCAAGCATTATGTCTACCTGGCAGCAACTGCTAGTGGTCAAGCAAGGCTGAGCCTGCAATATTCCCACTCTAACTGGAAATGGGATGCAGCATACTGAAAAAGGAAAGGAAGGGAGGAATGAGAAGACAGAATGGGAGCAACAGCAATGTATGACATGGTTGCACACTGGAATCCTTTCAAGTTATTCCAAGTCCTTTTGAATGCCTCTTAAAATAACTGAAATCAGCCATTCCCAAGGCATGGGTTATGCCTATCATTAATTCAGGAACAGCAACTCACGTGTTTCATAAATAAAAATCTGGCATTTATTCACAGCACAATCCTCTGATACCTTCCCCTCATAGGCATCTCAAAGACTGCAAGTGTTTGCAGCCTGACTGCTTGCTTATCTTGGAACCACATACCTCTTGATAAGGAAGAAGAGTAGAAGTTACTCACAGTGGTTCAGTTGACTATGGAGGGAGTCAGCAAGGGAACATCTTACCAAGCTGCTTATTTCAGGAAGGGATTTTTTTTTTTTAATCTTCCTTGAAGATTTTTTTCTTTTAGGAAACTAAAAGCTTTTTTGGAGGAGCTGCACATTCTCTAAGCCTCCACACTGAAGATCTGAAAGCTTTTTTTTCCAAAGCAGAAGTACAAAACTCAACAAGTCACCCTGAATTTCTGGAGAGTCATGAAGCTTTTTTTGCAATCTTTTGATGTGATCTGGTATCTTTCTTAACCGTCTCGGGGAAGGGATATCTTTACAGGCTCAATTTCTTTTCTGAAAATCATTACTAATTCTGTTTATAGTTTGAAAATAATGTGTTCATTCCAAATTAAAGTTAGTTTCACATAGCAACAATCCAATTCGCCCTCTGTCCCAGAGCAGAGAACTCTTTTGATGGGAACTGGTAAACTTCTCACTTATGAACATTAATCATCATGAAAAAAACGACATTGGTTGGGTTTGATAATTGTTTAAGACTGCATTAACAATATCACTGCAAAACAATGGAAGGATTAAACTCATTTCAAACTTAGATTTACTAAATCTTTTTAATAGCAAAATTTTAAAAGCAAATTGTGTTTGCACTGGTGCACAGCACCAGCACAGTCTACTTTAAGTCTTAATGAAGAGTTTTTAGACTTTTTTTTAATCTTTACCCAGAATCACAGGGTAAAATGACCTAAGAGTTGGGGGAAGGTCCCCTGGATATTACTTAGAAGCTCTGTATTTTGTTACTTATAGCTCATCACTACTTGACTGACTACCTTCAGCCCAAACCAAAATGCTGCTGCTTAAGATCTCACTTGAAGGAAGGCAACCAGAAACCAGAGGTTGAGTGATAGAAAGGTTTTCAATTATAGCATTCTCAAAGGCTGGAAGTCACTGTAAACCTCAGCTCTTGCCTTAATTTTCTGGGCTTTTTCTTGTTCACTTTGAAAGACACTTTTATGACTGCCACCTCTACAGCTCATACTGGCTCACCTTGAACACATGGAATGCTTCAAACTGAATGTTGGGGCTTTTATCTCGCAGCAAGTTCATCATCAGCTTCAGATTTTCTGGTTTGCTAATGTACTTTGTCATGATGGCAAAGTTGTGTCGGTCCAGAATCAGCTCACCCAGCAGCTATAGGCACAATTAGAAAAAAAACACCTTTTTTTTTTCAGTTCATCACATTATTTTTTAACGCAGAGAAAGCAGTAGCATATTTCAATGTTTCCTTAAGAGGTTTCAATTTCACTACCTTTAAAAAAAAAAAAAGGTAACTAGACTTGTTATCATGCAGTTGGTTACTTAATGCCCAGCAATGCTCATCTTCTAAATGCTACAGAGAGGAGAGAGATCCTGCATATGGGCTGGGTGTAGCAGGAGCTGGTGTGAGCAGTTAGGACAGAAGCAAGTGCAGTGCAGTGTCCCACAAAGACCCCTTCATTTCATTCATGTGTTACATTAACACACCTGTCTGGTTCCATCTGCAGGTTGTGTCAGACTTGGTGCACCAAACAGAGACTATGATGTTACTCTCAAGTTCATTTTAACTTATGTTCTGAACCAAAGTACACATTTGAGGTCAGATGAAAAATTATAGGGCTTGTTCCACAGAAACAGCCCAATGCTTCACCAGACATCCAGAAAACAAAAGACACTGAGCTCCTGTGCACTTCAAGAAGAGCATCACAACCTTTAGCTCTTTTTTGTTAGAAAAACAGCTGCTCCACCGAGATACATACACCTTGATATTTTGCATACCATAGAGTACATATTGAGGAGGAAAGCGCTGCAAGCCTTTACCTTCAAAGATTGTCTCTTTGTCACGTAATTCTCAGAGTTAAGGAGTTTTTCGTAATCCTCAAAGATCTAGAGTAACAAGAAAACACAAATGCATCAGATTCATGTCCACTCTTCCTCCTCTTGGTCCTTGCCACCCCAAAGGAGCAGCAGAGGCCACAGCAGTGCCACCCTCTAACATTTCACTGCAATGCCAGGCCTTTTTCCTTGGCTAGTTGTCATGCAGTGAGTTAATGCCCAGAAACACTCCTCTTCCAAGTACTGCAGAGGGGGATACCACATATGGACTGGATGTAACAGGGGCTGGCATGAGCCAACTAGGACAGAAGTAATCCAGAGCCCGTACAGCCTTCTCTTACAGAAGGGTGAATGTGCTGCCAGGACACGTGGGTCTAGCATGTAATGTCCACTCACTCATATCATGGTCATGACTGGGTGTGTGATTTAATACTGTGCCCAAAATGGTGATGGTGTATCCCAAAAGCTCCTTTTGCGAGGTGCCACCTTGCCTGCTTTCAGCACCCTCACTCACTAAAGCCATTTACCCACTGAGGATCACAGGAGCCGAGCATGAGCTGGCTTTTGCAGGACTGGGCCAAGGGAATCTTGTTGTCAAGAAGACTGAGAGAGAAGGCTACAGTATGTCCAAACCATCTACCAAAAAAGTGAAAAAACCCAACACTGCTGTCTGAGAATCACCTGAAAAAAAATGCTCACTTAGGCAATTAATACTTAAAAATTTAAAATGTTAAATAAATGTAAAATGGGGACTGTTCCAAGTGCAGTGCTTCAGTATTAAGAGAGAAGATTAGCAGAGACACTAATTTTGCTCCAGTTAAGCAGCATTTGTGACTCAGCAATAATTAGCCTGCTCTTTGTTTAACCTTCTTGGTAACTAGAATGAAAGAAATTTGTCTTTTCACTTTGGCAATGAAATAAAGAATAGCTCAGGTAACATAAGAATATAACCCATAGTATATGATCTGTATCAGTCCAATTTTAGTTGATTCCAACTGAATTTTTCTGACCCACAACTCTGTCCAAAACAGAGCCAAAAAATCAAAGTGAAAAATGGCAGCTAACCAAAGGACTGATTGCCTTAGGATGGTAACAGAAATATTCAGACCTCAGTCCCTCATTTAGGCACATGTAATTTCCAGTAATGCTAAAACTTCTTTCAGTAACTCTTCTTCTTTGTCCCAAAATATTATAAATAACACCAGCATGGCCCTATCAGTGCTGGGATATCACAAAGCTGTTTCAAACTGTGCACATTTTTGCCCATGATCTATCTACACATAAAGTTTCAGTTCCATTCACATATGAGGAGATACAATGCACATACAGAGGAATAAAACTTGATTTTAAAGTACAAGTTCTCCTGAAAACTTGGCATGTGTCCCCAAGAGGGGTTACCTGTATTTCACACATCATGCAAGGATTCTGCTCTAGTTTTGCAGTCATAGGTGACTATTTTATGTCAAAACATGAAACCTCTGCTATTGAAAGCACGCTTTTTCCAGCTAAGCATGAACAGAAATTAAAAATTTGTTTTAGCATTGATACTCACTGGATCGTAATTTTGCTCCAGAAATTCTGCCACCAACGATTTGTGTCGTGTTAAGAGGTCCTGGGGAAGAACAGAGAAAGGTTACCTGAGAGAGCGTGCTCATCTCATGGTCCCTTGATTCTCAAATGTATTTCAGTACTTTTTACCAGAAGGCATTTACAACATGGTTTCTATAGACAACACTGCATTATGTGTTTAGTAGGACTTTTAGGAGAACTCAGTTAATGCTAACAGAATCAATATAAAACTATTCTAATACACTTTTTATTCCTGTTTCCCTCCCACCTTTTCTTATGTTCATTGGTCACAGTGCACAATACTTATGCTAAACCAGGTTAGAGGAAAGGAAGAAAGTAAACTAACCCTTTATGGAGGGATGAGCTATGGTCTCCAAGCCAAAAGTGACCTACATGCTACCTCATAGCTGGAAACTATGCTAAGCTGGATCAACTGCTATTGCTCATCTCTAAGAATACAACAAGGAAGACTCAAATTCAACTGCCATATATAATAACTAATATATTTTGTTATTTAATAATGAAAGCTAGTCACCAATCTAAGTTAAACATCCAGACTCCCTCCCCCTCCAGGCTTCTTTCCCCTCCCTTCCCTCCCCAGGGAAGCAGACTCAGGTAGATGGGATGAATCCCTTCTGCAGATCTTTTTCTGCCCAAAGTTGGCTTACTGACACAAAGTAAGACAGCTTTCTACTTTTTTTACTTTCAGACAGCTGGATGGGATGCCTCCCATGCTAAAAGGCCAACTAATTCAAATTTAAATTAAAAGGAACCTCTCCCACAGAATGGGAATGCTGGTGCTCAGTGACAGAATCTCTTTACTGGATGAATAGCTATGAAACAGAGTGGCCAGTGAAAGGCATTTAAGTATGATTTTGATCTTATTGCTTCTTTTCAAACTGACCACAATAAATGCCTGATGAAGTCCATTCAAGTTGGTACTTTTTTTTGTGAATCAGTTTCTGCTCTCTTTTTCATCCTATTTTCCTTGGTTTCCATCCCCAGTCACAGACTGAAGCTGACGAGGAGCTCAAGCAGATTCACAGACACATCCTCATAAATAAAAAACATCTTTACATACTAATCCTTTAATTTATTTTTACCATCAATTATAAGAGGAAAGCAGAGCCCTACAAAACCCAGTGCATGTTTTCAGTACATTCCTTTATTTAGCAGGACTGCAATGATAGCAGTTTTAAAGGCTGAGTGAAACATGTGAATCACAAGCTTTTATGCAGGGCACTTAGGAGGCAAGTACGACATCCTTCAACAGGGGGCACAAATGGAATATAATCCAAAATGAGTTTTTCACAGAAAATGACAAGAAAGCCTGGAGCGGCAGGCAGTATTCAGTCAGCACTCTTTCCAGCTGCTGCTTGCACCCTCCACAGCCAACTTGTATCTCTAAATACACGCGTTTTCCTCTGCATTTTTAACAATTCTGTTTTCTCTCTGCAGTGCACCTGGCTGAATTTAATTAAGAAGTACATCTCCAGATCATAAAAAATTTCAATACTTCCCTACTATAAATATCCTCAGATTTTAATGCACATTTAATTAAGCCCTCCTCTGGTGCACAGACCATCCAAGGTTTTCAGCTCTGAATCAGACACCTCGATGGCAACACTACAAACCCAACATGGGGGCAACAGAACCCAAAACATGAGTTCAGTAATCCAGCCAACAAGCAATCATAGCACTTATTTTTCTGGTATTAGAAATGAGGTAGCTCCATATATCATGATTCAATCGCTTCCACATCACTTCTTGTTGTTCCAGCTGTTCAGAGTAACAGACAAATAGGAGATGAGATGAGTAGGTGGTTTATTTCCAGAATTGACCATGTATCAGGTGTTAAGAGGAAATTAAAAAAAAAAAAACAACACACGAAACAAAACAATGCAGTTTATACATTTTCCCCAAGCATTTTAAAAGGCAGTTTCTGACCTATGTCTGAGGATGAATTGCCTTCATACTCCTCTCTTTCCAGTGTATGTGAGGATGTAGAATTCTATTTTTAAATCCTGCTAAAAATACACTCAGTTCACAGAGGACAGAAGTACTTTCCACAGCTGTAGTTCCGT